CAACAAGAAACTCCTGAAGCTGTCTCTCTCCCTGTATGCCAACAAATCAAAAACAATCCTAGGGGAATGTCAGAGGTTAGAAGCATCTTTAAAAACTTAAGGAGTAAAGGAATGCTGGTCTCCAATGTGTTTCCATTTAATTCATCAGTCTGGGCCATGAAGAATCCAGGTGCATCCTGGAGGGTGACAGTAGGCTATCACACGTCCAGGCAGATATGAGCTCTACTGCAGCAGCTGTGCCAGGTAGAGCAGTGGCACAGCTGCAGGAATGTGGTTGGCAGTCACTGATCTGGCAAATGCTTTTTTATCCCATAAATCTCCAAAAAAGAGGATCAGAAAGAGTTCACCTACTCTTAGAATCAGCCCCAGAGTACATTTATAGTCTCTTCCAAATCGTTGCTAATACTTCCACCCTGTCATAACATGGACTAAAAAGACCCGGACTGGCAAGACATTTCCCAGAATGTCACATCACAGTGGTCCATTGTATCAGTGGATCATGAGTCCCTGACCAGACCTGTGTCATCACCCATGCTGTGCCAACACCTCCCTCTCAGCTCACATCCATGGCCATACCTGGAGTTCCTTATGACCAACCATCAGAGTAGAATTGAGCTCAGGCTTTGTTCACATGGATTGGCCTAGGGTGTAGAAACAAGCCAAAAAGGGGTGGCAGCTGTGCTACTGTACCCATTAGGAGTGACTTTGAAAAACAGTCAAGGGAGGAAGTCTCCCAGTGGCCAAGTTTCAGGAATTATTCCGGGTCATCTCCTACATGTGGATAGAAGAGCAGCTGGAGGTTGGGATACCTATGCAGTTTCATGGACAGTGGTGAATGTTTGTGTCAGTTGGTTAGGAGCCTTGAACAGAAAGAAGTCTGGGTTAAAGATGTGTGTATGGGTCATTGAGCAAAGTCACAATGTGTGAAGACTTTGTATTGGATGTTAATACCTATCAGAAAATATCCATTGCAGAAGATGCAGTAAACTATTGGGTAGATATGATGACTTGACAGATATCAGTCTCTATCATGGGTCACAATGAGCTCATGGAAATGGCAGAAATGGAGGCTCCCACTGACCGTCTAGCTATTGATGCTGCCAAATGTCCAATATGCTAGCAACAGAGGTCACCTTGAGCCACTGATATGGTATAATCTCTGAAAGCCCTAGGTGGCAAGTTGACTATAACAGATCCCTACTATCCTGGAGGTTCAAGCGATTTGTACATAGGGACAGACCTGTATTTCAGGTACAGGTTTGCCTTTCCTGCCCTAGGGGGTCTCTGGCACATTATTACCTAAATGATTACAGAGTGATTCACCAACAGGATTTTTCATAGAACATTGCATCATGACAGTACAAAAGGAGATGCAGCCCTGGGCATATGACTGTGGGACCCACTGGTTTTATCACATACCACATCACCTGACTTGGAACACCAACCTCCAGAATGCAGAGTATATATTAATTCAAAAATTTTACTGTGTCCTTTTTAGATAGACTATGTGGGTCCAAGAACTAAGGAGTGAAAGGTGGAGAGGTTCACTTTGCATCAAACCTCACTTCCCATCACTGCAATGTTTTGCAGATTTAGATGTTATGGTTCTTTGGGGTATATATTTCCACCGGGGGGGGCACCATAAGAGTCCTACTGAATTCCAGGGGCTCCGGAGGCTGAAGAAGGAGGATCACAAGTTCAAAGCCAGCCTCAGAAACTTAGTGAGGTCCTAAGCAACTCAGCTAGACCCTGTCTCTAAATAAAATATAAAAAAGGGCTCAGTGGTTAAGCTTAAAGTATGGCACTTTAAACTCTTGTGTGCCAATGAATGAGTCAAGAAAAGTCACTATCTTGGTGGGGTTATAGACCTGATCATGAGTGGGAAATAAGGCCACTGCTACATGGTGGGAACAGAATGGACTGGGTTTACACTCATGTGATGACTGAAGCTTCCTTTAGTACTTCCTTACCCAGTTCAGGTGATAAATGGGTAAATTCAGCAGCCAGGTCTGAGAAGAACCATCAGCTTAGATCCTCATGTTTGAAGATCTGGGTCAGCCCTCCAACCAAACAGAGGTGATAACCAAAGATGAGAAACAAAAACAGGTCATTTAAAATAGAGGAGAAATTTGATGAGTATCAGCTGTAGCTTTTTTTCC